ATGAAGCTTTGGGGGAACATCTAGATACAAGCCATTATAGCAACTGTAACTCATTTTTTGTGTGGTTGGTTAACCGAAATTTTAACACATTAGTGACTTACTCAAAATGAAATTGAGATGCTCAAATTTCTTTACTGTATTTTCGTATCCAAAATATTGGAGGGACAAGAACATTAAAAATAATTTTTTATGTCTTCTTCTCAACCACACATTGCACATAATGACAATGTGCTTTGGGAATACAATTCCTTTATTAAGGCCTTAAGAAACATATTGGGAAAGAAATGCCCAGTACCTTTCAAAAGGGAACAATGGCTAGTTTTTGAAGGGGTTGGTGGGGAAATTCTCCTATTTTATTTCAGTGACCATGGATGAGTAGGTGGCAGAGATTGGTCAAAGTATGCTGGGTCTGATTAATGTACAAGGTCAGCAGCACAGTAAAAGTTATCTCAGCACTGAAAGGAGCAGAGGCAGGAGAATTACATGTTTGAGTCCTTCAAGGGCAACTCAGAGAGGCTCTGTTTCAAAATAAAAAATAAAAAGGGCTGAGGATGTGCCTCAGTGGTAGAACACCCCTGGACTTGATCCTCAGTATGGAAAAAAAAAGTCACTTCTGCAGAAACATTTGATAAGGTTTGATTGACAGCTTGGTCCAGAACCATTAATGGTTTAATCAGAAAAACAAAGATCACTGAAAATATTTATACTTTTTATTTACAATAGACAGATTTAATGAAGGGAATTGGTTGTGCAGGGGATAGAATTTCTAAGACCCAAATAGGTGAGGCAAACAGAGACTATCAATAGCAAGTATGAAGAGTTAACTACCATTAACCAAAGTCTGTCTCACAATGGATTTAAGGGAGTGTCTTTCCATTGCACGAATTATTTCTCCACTGTTAGACTGGATAGACAAGATTTCCTCAGATTTTAGGGAATAATATTATTGTAGAAAGCCCCTGGATACTCTGTCTCATTCTCTTAAGTCAGCAGCACACTCATGTGTGCCATGCTAGACTGATGGCCACCCTATGGTCAGAGCCAGAAAAGGTTATTTGTCGTCATTGTCATCACCATCATCACCATCATCATCATCATCATCATCATCATCATCATCTTTGAAGGCATAACAGACAATAGTATCACCATTACACTTAAAAATTCAGAGGTGGGCCAGGGATTTAGCTCAGTGGTTTTGCTGCCTGCTGTGCAAGTGCAAGGACCAGAGTTCAATCCCCTGTACCGAAAAAAAATTCAGAGGTGATTTTTCCCATAGTACTGTTAAATTTCCAGTCTAGCTAATGTGGAGGATTGGATATTAGAAAGTGATAGTATAATAAGATTTATAAAACAGAGATAATAGGTCTAGATATAGGATACTGGTACCAGCTATACATCTAAGCAAATTATTTTTTCTATCTCAAATAGATGCAAAGTAATTAAAGTTACTTACTATTATTCAACAGAATGTCTTCACTAGTAAGATGTTTTCACTCTCCAGCTTTGCAATTATAATTCTACTTACGTTGTCACCATTTTGTCTTCAACAACCCTAACACATCTCTCTAGCACAAATGACCTAATGTGGACATATTACATGAATGGCATTATTCCAATATACTCTGGGGAGAAGTAGAGGCTACCTTAGATGTCTGCAGTGATTCATGACAAAAATGAAGACGTTCCACTTTACTGAAGCCTAACAAACCAGTAGTATGGTATATTTGGTCTTACAACCTCCAAACAGAAGGAAGGTACACTAGGAGTAAACCTTCTGTGGGCTCTTTTAAATGTTGGAGGTAACCTACAACACATTTGGATTTGTATTCTAATTCACATACAGGTACCCAGAAAGATTTTGGCTATGAGTGAGGCTCACAGGAAGAGAAAAGTTCCATAATGCAAGTCGACCTGTGGTTTTTCTCAGGGGATCCATTGTTCCAGGTAGCTATGATAGAAAGAATTTCTGCATGAAGCCAGTGATAAGTCCCCAGAGAAGAAATACAGTGAAAGTCACTTCATCGTGGAGTAAAAGATCTTGTGCAAAATTCTTCTGCTTCTAAGGAACAGTTTGACACTTGGATACTGATGAAAAGAATGGCTGATTTTAAGCTAAGGGTAACACACCATGATCTGATGGTCAGATGATCAAATTACTTCTACAGCTTCCGATGGAGGCATGACAACATGGGGCCTTGCCTGATCAGTTCCCAAGGCACAATTTAATGAGCGGGCTTCTCATATTTCAATAAGCCTGCTCCTGACATATTCCTACCCTTCTTTCCATGTATTCCAATGACTCATCGATATTCACCTCTGCCTGGGTGACTGAAGAGGAAAGAAAATCTGGATTACATATGGCCTTCATGTGACATGTCCCATTTCTGGAAGATTTCCATAATGTTCTGTCCCTACTCAGAAAAGAAGAGAAATCCTTCAAGTGAGTAGAAGTTTGTTTACCAATCTTCTGGAAAAAAACATATATACTGTCCAATCTATGTGGAGGACCTTATGGAGGACCAGAATATTATTGGCAAGAAGGTCAGTGAAGGGCCGTGGGAAGGCTGGATGAGGTGATAGCATGCATATGCTATGTGCACCCTCAGTCTAGAGCTTACAGCTCCTGCAAGTGAAATGTCTCACCCTAAGAGCTCAGTCTCAGGTGAATGCCAACCATGAGACAAGCAATTGTTTATTTTATGGTTGGTTGGTATTTATCTGAGTTAAGTCATCTGGCACGGGTAGACATTGAAATGGCATTTTAAATCATGTTACCTGGTTACTCGAATTATTTTTCATCTTATCTTAATGTCCTCTCCTCCTCTTGTGGGTTCAATTGCATCCTTGAAAAGGATTAAGTTGAAACTCTAGCCCCCTAATTCCTGCTATTAGGACTCTACTTGCAGCTGAGCTCTTTGCAGATATAATTAAGATATAATGTAGACGAGGTCATACACAATTCAATATGAGTGGTTTCCTTATGAGAAGGGGAGTAGAGACACAGGCCCCCGGGGAAGATGGAGGCAGGACAGGAGTGACACATCTGCCAGCCAAGGATGCCAAGGATTGTCAGTAACTACAGAATGTGTTGCTAGCAGTGACAAGAAAGGACTGTTTCCCTAGAGTCTTCAGAAGGAGCGTGGTACTGACATCTTAATTTCACTCTTATGACCTCCGCAACTAGGAGAAGGTAAATTTCTCTTTTTTCAAGCCATCCAGTTTGAAACACTTCTTCACAACAGCCCTGGCAACTCTGCCTCCTAACTCTTCTTTGTGAAAATATCAATACTTTGAGTTCTTCTTCAAACTCCTTCCTTGAATGCACCTGTAGATCAATGTCTTTCAGGCTTTCCTAAGCTTGCTTCCAAGGTCGTCTGCATCAGAATTCCTGGGTTGCTTACATGAATGCAGATTCCTGGCCCTCCCTGGTCTCTCACTTACTGAATCAGATTCTAAGGAGCCAGAGAATCTGCATCTTAAAACTAATACATAACATGCAACAAGTACTTCATTAAGAACTCCACAGGGGCTTAACCTTTGCCACAAACCAGTATGTATGTTACTATCATAATTCTCACTTTATAGGTGAGGCACTGAGCTTTAAAAGCTGAAGTAATTTGCCCAAGGACACATAGCCAGAAAGTGAAGGTGATGTAATTCAACTCTAGGTCAAGGATATCCTGAGTCCAGAGACCACATGCTTAGCCACTATGCCATGCTGCATGTTTTTACCATGAGGTCTACATGCTTAAGGACTCAAATTTGAAATCCAGGGGTAGGTTACCTTTCCTTTCACAGCAAATATAGTGGTGCACCATATAATAATGTTTCAGTCCACTATGGAACATGTATACCATGGTATATACCATACAAATGTGGTTTTTGAACATATTATACTCAGTGATGAAGTCAATTATATGAAAGGTTTCTAAGCAATGGATGACTGTAATAGCAACAATCATAAATCACCTTTTGTCTCACTCTGATATTTTCCTCCCTTCTTGTGTAACAATCTATTCTTTTTCACATCTTTTACACTCTTTAGCACATTGCAATTTTGTTTCAATAACAACCTCCTGAAGTTATCAGTGAATTCCCTGTGATATACAGTGAGAATTTTACGTGACATTCCTAACAGATCTTTCTACACACTCTGCCTTTCTTCCTACTTTCTTCTTTACATTTCCTTCTGCCCTGACTTTCCAGCCCCTCTCAATTCTGCTGCCATGCTTTCTCTTTAATAACTTCCTTTCTGGATTCTGTTTTGGTTTCCACTGTGTGAGGACCATCCTTCATAGCAATTCCTTATTATTTTGTGCAAGTGTTTCCCAAACTGAGAATGCTTTTCCTGCAGTGTCTTTCTATGATAAGTTTAGGAAGTTCTGTGTACCATATACCTGTCAGTGTGTTTGTAAAAGACTCTACGAATGTTTCAGTGAAGAAAAAACTATTGACTTTGTTTAACTAAGTGTTTCCTAAACTTTCTGGCCATGACATCTTTGTGGGTTGATGAGTGTACATCTCTAAATTCCACAGCACTTTGGTAAACAATGCCCTATATACTTTTTCTGGGGTTTTTGTTGTTGTTGTTGTTGTTTGTTTTCAACCCATTCCCATATTCCCAACATTTCCTTTACCCTTTGATTTTAAATTTTTCGCCCAAAATTTTTCTTGTAAGTTCCAGACTTACAATTTGTCAGTTGATTTCCCATGCCTATATTTACTATTTACACCTAGAATTAGACATATTCATCAACAAGTTTTATATCTTGCCAAATAGATCTATTTCTTTCAAGGCCTTGACCATCCAGGCTAATTATGGCAATATCAAACCAGGAATCAGAAAAGCTAAGAATATTTCCTAACTTTTCCTTCTGAGTAAATTATTAACTCTAATTATTTCCACCTTGAATTGTCTTTCTACCCTGTCATTTGTTTTGTAGCACTGTTGCTGACATTTTAATTCAGTCATTCATCACATAACTATAAGACCAGAAGAGTTTTGTTTGGTTTTGTTGTTTATTTGCTTATTTGTTTGTTATTCTTTTCGAGATTAAGTCACTGTCCTTCCCAGGTTGATCTCAAACTTGTGGGATCAAATCTTTCTCCTGCCTCAGCTTTCCAAGTGGCTGTTGCTACAAGGCATGTGCTACCAGTCTCTGCTTGACTGAGATGGCTTCTGCTGGTCCTTGCATATCTTTCTTCCAAATAGATCCACAACACATCTATCTAGAATGAAACATGTAAAAACTACTCACCTAAATTTCATAAACAGAAGGAGGAAATACAAAAATCACTGAAGGAGACATTATGCTCAGTTATCTATCATTTTCCTTCATACAACCCACACTGGTTAAGTTCCTTCAAAGATGCACAGTTTCACACAATTCTACCTTTGCTCATTCCATTCCATCTCCTTAGACCACTCTTTGGTTATTCCTTGTCAGTTTTCATTCATTTCTTCATGCTGTGACAGCTCCATGCAGCTCTCTATTATAATACTTAGCAGATACAACTGTAACTGCCACTACAAATATTAAATACATAATTGCAAAAATAAATTGACATTAAGGAGGATTGACATTAATAAGTGAAAAACAAATCTTCAAAGTTGAAAGTACATGATTAAAATCTTTTTGATAGTAGCTAATATCTATCATATAGAAAGCTAATTGTTCTTCAACAATACCAAAGGTCAGAAAATTTGGCATTAATCTACATGGTTAGAAGTATAGTTTATTTTTTTTTTTTGGTACCGGGGATCAAACTCAGGTCCTTGCACTTGCGCAGCAGGGGGCAAAACCACTGAGCTAAATCCCCGGCCCCAAGTATAATTTATTTTAATCATTGTGAGAAGGAAATAGTTGGTGGAATTAAAAGAAAACGAGTTTTCTTTTCTTTTTTATATTTAATTCAAAATAAGGCTCCAAAACTATCATAGGTAAAGTCTCAATAAATTAAAAACTCTTGAGTTATATTTCTGTACTGAAAAACTGATATGAAAACAATCATATATAGCACTTAGAATTTAATAAATATTTAGAGAGATTAAACATAATGTTTTGTTATTGTTAAATCTTTCTTTTGCTCTTCTATTCCTGATACCGTTGCCTTAAGAACACAAAAGTTGCTTCTGCCTATCCACTGGCTTTCTTTATGAAAGTTGTTAGTCTCAGAAATGAAAAATATGCTAGTTTCACTTTATCCCCTTGGTGTTTTAGTCAAGGCTACAAATCTCTTTTTGTTTTCTTTCACTTCCAAAAAGCCATAGAAGGATATATATCACGTTTGTGTGTGTGCCATGTCATAAAGGGGAAAATAGTAAATGATTTGAAAGCTAGAGCCAATATCCTGAAGGATTAAGCCACTCTTATTGAAACCACTTTGTGGGGGATATGGCATGGTAACTCTTTAATAGATCTGGCACATATCCCTTGGTCTTGAAGACTTTTTCTTCCACCTGCTTCTTTAGCTATTATTTCAGCAGGTGTGAGTGGCTTGTGGTTGATAGAAAATGGAATGGGATACAAGAGTCTCTCCCATTGACACTGAATCTGCCATTTAAACCACCCTTATGTCCTGAATTTGAGTATTGATCAAAACATTCAGTGACAGAATGTCTCCATAGGCTTTGTATGCAAGGAGATCCCAGTAAGAACAAGCAAAGAAGCTTGTAAGATTTTAGTTCCACCATATCCTATAAGAATTTCAGATAAATTCAGGTGACTTGGGAGATTTTAAGATTATATTCAGATATCCTGTATGGTCTGTTCTTTGTGTAATAGGCCTTCAAATGATAGATTTTGATACTCTTGTTGATTCATATATGTGTATCTACAGATGGTACATGTATGCAAGTACATATGTATAAATGCATATATGTGTTTATGAATGTGAGTAATACACATATAGGCACTGGGTTTGCATTGCTTTTTAAAATGTTTGTCTTATCTAATTTAACAATAACTCTATTGTGTTTTTGTTGATAATAAACATTATACCCATATATGAATACATTTGAGAATTTTCAAATAAATTATATTAGAATTGGGCTTAGACTTTAATTTTTTGCAACATCAGAATTAAGTTATTTGATCTTTTCAGAATATTATTTTTAAAACATATAAGTTCCATTTGTAAAAAAATAATCAGGATAAAAATGAAGTGTACCTTTATGATGCACAAATTTTAATTTTTCCCTTAATAGATCTTAAAGTAAAATTTTTTTCATGCACAAGGCATTTTATAATCTTTTCTATTATTTTAGTTAATTAGTACATGTGTGTAGTATATAATATTTACCTTCGTTGTGTGGAGTTGGCACATGTACATAACATATCAGAATTGATTTTTTAAAAATCTTTTATCCCTTCCCTCCCTCCCCTCTCCTTCCTACCTTTATCCCTTTCTCCTCTGAGATGATCTAACTTCCCTCTCTCTATTGTCTATCTTTTATTTTGCTCTTTATCTTTGCTCTGGGTTTCTTGTGTAAGAGAAACAATGAAATATTTAAACTTGTGTGTCTGATTTATTTCATTTAACATTATGGTCTCAAAGTGCATCCATTTTCCTACTAATGACTCAAGCCTATCCTTCTTTATGGCAGAAAAGATTCTCATCACTACTCATAGGTAAAATATAGAATCAACCCAAATGTCCTTCAACACAATAGGCACGATATTAGACTGGTTAAAGAATATGTGGTTATATTCCCACAATGGAATACTATTTAGCAATAGAAAAGAATGGAGTTCTTCCATTTGTAGCAACATGGATGGACTTGGAGACAATAATCTCAAGAGAAATAAGCCAGGTACAGAAGGAAAAACTCCATATGATTTCACTAATATCTGGAATCTAAAAAATCTGAACTTGAACTCCTAGCACTCTGGAAGCCTGAAGAAGGGGATCCCAAGTTCAGACCCCAAGCTCAAGCCCAGCCCAGGCAACTCAGTGACTTAGTGAGACCCTATCTCAAAATTTTAAAAAGAGCTGGGGATGTAGCTCAGTGCCAAGTCCTTGGGTTCAATCCCCGGTACCACACAAAAATGCATACATACATATCTGCATACATACATATCTGCATACATACATATCTGCATACATACATAAATAGAAGGAAAAAAAGAAAAGAAAAAAGTCAAACTCATAGAAGTAGCATAAAATAGTGACTAAAATAGTGAATGGGGAAAGCTTGATCAATGTGCACAAAGACACAGGGTGAATTACTACACAGAAGGGTGATGATAGTTTGCAATATTGTATTGTAATCAAAACAGCTACAAAAGAGGACTTTTTAATGTTCTCATCACAAATAAATGATAGATGTTTGAAATGATGTCTAACCTAAATACCCCGAGTTGATTGTTGCATAATGTATACAGGCACCAAAATATCACACTCTACTTTGTAAATATATACTATTATCTGACAAGTGATTATTACTATTTTAAAAGTTCCAAATTTTAAATGTGGAAAGAATTTTCAAACATCACACATATATATATGTATATTATATATGATGTATATAAAATATATTATATATAAAGTATATTATATGTTATCTATATTAAAGTAACTTACTTTATACCAGAGTTTCAAGGACACAAAAGTACTATTAATAAACACTCTAAGCCAAATTAAATATATGTATACAACTTTTAGTAAAACACCTTCATTTAAAGAAAGTCATTTCATAAAATACCTGACTTTAAAGGATATTTTTGAGTGGCAAAAATATACATTATAAACTGAATGGTGATCATGTTTTTTTAAGGAAATATTTCTTTTATATTTGTCTGTGTTTAGTCTTGAAAATATCATCTTCACGCCTGGAAGATAGAAAAGTTTAGCTATTACTTATGATCCTTCACCAATGCTCAGGATTAACCTTCTGAAATCCAGAAGTATAAGTCCTGGCTTTAGCTAATTCTAGCAATAAAATGTTCAAATATTTTCCTGCAGAAAACACACAAATGAAGCCTTAAAGACATGAAGCTTCCAATCACTTGGACAGAGTACTAGCCCAGCACCCTGCTTGTTATCAGGTGATGCCTTCCAATCTGGGAATCTGGGAATTATCAAGATGAAATATAAGGAAAATGGTTTATAAATAATGAAACTATTGCAATTTAGGGATTTACATTCCAGGAGTATATAAACAAGTCAGATATAGGAGATACAAAGCTAAGAGGAGGTAATAGTTTATTTAACTCGTAATCATTCAAAATGGTTCTTAATATATCACATTCTGTTCTTTGCACTGAGGAACTGTTTTTATTTTATAAAATTTAACCAAAAATGTAAATAGCTCAATGCCTTAATTAAAAACCCACTAACAAAATGAGAAAATGAGAGAAAATGTAGTAAATTTTAAAAGAAAATAAGCATCTTAAGTGAAAATATGAAAAATCAAAAGCTGTACATCACATCTACAAGATATTTACTGTTAGATTGTTACAATCTTATACATTATAACCACTTCATAATGTGCAGAAACAATTAAATTAATTCTATTGGAAATATAAACTAGCAAATGCTAATAAAATGTATTTATCAACTAAAAAGAAAAAAGTTTTAATTGAATAAATATATAATCTATTCTTTAAAAATAAGCTTTGTAATACAAGTAAGCTTATTTAAATATAAGAATAAAAGCTTATATGCAGACCAAAAGAAATATTTTTGGTTTCTAATAAATTTCATGGGAAATAAAACACAGTAATTGGATTATAAACTATTTAAATAATTATGTTATTTTATGAAAGTATGTAACTCTGTGCCTTCTAAATTAATTTTTTTCTCTTCTGTTTTTGTTTTTCTTCTTCGTGTGGTTCTGGGATTGAACCAAGTACCTAGTGTATGCTAGGCTAACACTCTACTACTGAGCTACACCTTGGCCCTTTAAAATATATATTTCTTTTTAAAAAAATAGAACATTACTGTGCTTCTAGTTTTTCAATATTTCCTCTGAGGCAAAAATAAAGAAATAAAATTAATTTGTAAATAAATAATATACCATTTGGAAAAGTTTAGAAACCTCTTAAGACAACAGAATTATGAAAGTGGATCATGAAAAACATATATATAAGTACTTCAGCGTAGCACCAGAACTTGCAAGGCAGAAATTTCAAGGATTCCAATATTTTTTACTTAGGATAAATAAATAAATCATTCATGCCAACAAGTAACAGATTAAAAAACACATCTAATTAATAACAAAAACCAAA